CGGTTAGGAACATTCTAGAACCGATGTTTCCTTAAAATTTTTAAAATTTGCTCTAGAAATCTGTCGGTACGGAGATTGAACTGCTCCATTCTTCAATAGTTCTTCAATAAATCTGCAGAGACATTAGACTTCCATTTTTAGTTGCTAAATCTGTTAAACATGGCAACCTATAGTAGAGAAATCTAATATCTAAGCATGTCCGTCACGACAATATGCAACTTTCAATCCAGTACACACTAATTATACTTTATCGTTCTTATAAAATATCTTCTGTATTACTGTTCCTTCCTCCCTTCATTCACATTCATTCACACATATATTCTCAACACGTGTAATTCGAACGTTCTCTGTTTTCGAAAATATGAAATACTCTCGTTATCAAAATAAAATATAAATTGGCAATAACGTTGTGTAGCTAGATGTTCTTGCTAGCAAATTACATAGGAAACATTGATCGCTTCTCTCCTTCCTCCTCCTCTCTTTCTCTTTCAATTTTGCATTTTCTTTTCTATTTCGTGTACACGAGACAATCCATATTATCCATATTTCCTCGACTCCACGTTACTCCTTTATCACAACTATGTATAGAATGCTTTGCTCCAGCTCTGGAAAGGGCGTTCCTTTGACTAGAGGTAGCAAAAATCAGTTTTCTGTAACAACAATATTTGTGAGTCTGTGTATATAACTTACTGAAATTGGTACGTCACAATTCTGTCCTAAAATTGAATATGGTTTAAAGGATTAAACAGATTGCTACTCCTAGTCGATTCCAGAGCTCTCTCGTTACACGTGTTCTTGTATATGCTTCTCTCCATGTATCTTCTTTTTTTCTTTCTACCCCTACGTTTTTTTAATTTCTATAAAATATTGACGTTAGATTTCTTTTTCTTTTTTTTTGTTTTTACGTTTAAACAAAAATTTGTAAAACAATTGCTATGAATCTTTTATGTTGTAGAGTTAAGTACAAAGACTCCAGTTAGTTTCCTGAAAGTTGTTCATCTTTGAGACGGTTCACATTGTACGTCTGGTGATTGCATGGTCAAGTAGCAGGGCTGAGTGTCGCGGAAGTGCGATCTGACGAGGAGACCCAGACCTAGAAGGACCACTGGAAGACCTAGTAGTGCGCAGATCAGCTCTCCCGTCACTCCGGGGGACCATGTAATGAAATCTGTTTAAATACTTCGATTGAGAATTCTGAAGCAAATAGACTGAGTGCAAGGTAACAAGCCGTCTAAGTGTTAGGATGTCTATTCTAATTCAGACCTAAATTACAGATGAAATGAATTTTGGAGAAATTCTTAGAATTTGAAAGAAATAACATGTTGGAATTTTAGAAAGAATTCATATTTTCGTTTAAATCGAAAAAAAAAAAGAAAAGGAAAAAAGATCCGAATTTGTGAATTACGCAAGATACTGGATCCTCTATAGTTTCAGACTTTAAAGTAATTTTCTAATTTCTCCCAATATTAACTATTAAAATTTGAAGGTTTATAAAATTTATTAACTCACCACCGTGAATGTCCATTTTGTATATGCTCCACCAGATTCCAGACAACGGGAGAGACACAGTAGCGGTAGCAACGGTGAAGACAGCGCTCTCGCTTATAGACAGGAAGTTCAACACAGAAATTGCGAAAGTACTATATGCTATCAAGAAGATCCAGCCATGAGTAGAAATATTTGAGCAGTTTTCGGTGTTCTTGAAGTGACATGTGAGCCCGTGCTCTATTGTACGGTATAGTTCCACTGGAGACAAACCCTGGACAGACAAAGACTCACATTAACCAACCATACGGTAGAATTCCATTTATTGAGACGAGTCTAGTCTGTAGAATATTAAAGTTATTAATTGGCAGAATCATGAAATTTCTATTTTATTAGTTTTTTGCAAATGGAATACTCAAATTCTTAATAACTTGATGAATAAAGTTCTGTAACTGTATTATATATAAGTATCACTTTTATCATATAAATTGGTTTAATTAACTTACTCTGCCTATTCCTGGCAACGTGTCGATCCAGGACATGGATAAAATGGCAAAGAAGGCGATTAAGTGAATGTAGAAGAGAGTTTCGAGGATTGGAGGTTTTGGAATGTGTTTTGGTTTTATGGTAGGATCAGGGTCTGTCACATGGAGTAGTCTGCCTCCTTCCTCTTCAGAACCTCGTCGACGGATGTCTCGCGAAGACACCAATCTCGACACCGTGTAGAGAAAAGAATTTTGTTGGCTCGCCATTATTTGACACATGTTTTGTTGCTAGAACATAAAAAAATTTGTCTGCTTTCTAGAATTCGTATGAGAAAAAAATGTTAAATTATCCTTAATAAAATCTTTATACATACATATATATATTTTAATGACGATCGTCAAGTCAGTTTTCATTTTTTATTATTATTCTAACATTATTAGTAATTATTTTAAAGTATAACTCTGTACAGAATATTTTCATGAAAAATTTAAAAATTTCATTACACACGCGGTTCAACGCACAAAGAACGAGGCACAAAGCGTTCGTCTCGATTAATTATTAAGCTCTCACCTCAGTGGTATAATGGCCCTCCAGCAGAGTGAAGAACATAGCGAAAGCAGCCAGGGAACCGACATAAACGAACGTCCAAATGGCCTTCACGCCCCAAGATCCTCTCACATGAGCCGAAACATCTCGCCCTCTGCATCGAAACTCGTCACACAGGCCATAATCCACGCTTATGAAGAGACCAACAATTATCGTAGTGCTTGAGAAGATTCTCTGCAAGCTCATCACTGTAGCAAACGGTTGTTTCTCGTTTTATTTCTTTCCACTTTTTTATTACAAGACTGACGAAAATTAAGAAGCTCACTTTTACGACAGAAGAAGAAATAGTAGACCAGAGAGAAGACCAAAGTGATGCCTTTTATGGGATCCTGCAAGTGACACAAGACTCTGCCCCGGTCCAAAGAAAGAGTGATCACTATGCCAGACAGGGCATAGATAAGACTGATCTTGAGCAGAGCACAACGAGGGATCCTAATCCGCATGCTGTTCGGGATCAGAGCTGGTGGTGGAGACACTCTGCCCGCGATGAAGCATATTACGCCCAGGATGAAGGCAGAGCAGAAGGCAGTGAAGAGAAGTCCTGAATAAGAGACAAAGACAAATCTGAATTAAGACAGGCACTGATTGATCACCAACAAGTACTCAATATTGTACAACAGATTTTTATATAAATTTAATTCTTAGCAATTGGCAAGGTGAAAGAGTAATAAATCATAGTGTGAACAAATTCCTACTTTTCAATGCACGAAACGTGCAATTCGAAAAAGAATGCTGACGTAACAGAGATGGGAGCTAGAATTAGCATTATCCAGTCGTTTGCTAGATACCTGTGTAAGCGTTGGACACGTAGCTGACGCTCTCGAGATAAAGGGGATAGGTGATAATCAAACAGGTAATGGACACGACGACGGTCAGAAGGGTGGCGATGAAGCTGAATTTTTGCCAGGTCGCTCTGTCCGTATCGAACAGCTTATCGGTAGCCTGATAAGCGACATATGGCGAGTCCTCGGTGTCGGTGTACTCCTCGATCTCCACGTCGCTTCCGGTACACCGAAGCTCCTCCTGTTCCTCATCGTCGACCATCGTCGAGACGCAACCTGCCAAGCCTGCCAGTTTTGCGGTTTATTTCCTTCACCCTTCTGGAAGATATAGTTAAAAATTATCATTATTAACAGCCAGTTGATTCTTAGGACCGTACCGTTGGCCATTTTGTTGCTTGATTCACCGATCATTTATTTCATCACCAATCGAGACTTGACGGAAATTGCCAAGCTCGATCTTGCAACTGAATCAGAGAAACTGTTCTGAAAGTCAAAATTCATGCTAGAAAACAGAGTTAGACAGGATTATAGGCAAGTACAGTGCCAATGTACCTATAATAAATACTTCTGACTCAGAGACAGTTAAGTTGAAGGAAGTGTTTCTCAAAATCTTGATGACATTCTTGGAACATTACGATCGATCGAGCGAGGGTGAGCTTTTCCTTTTTCTCCACTCACGCGAAACGATTTCAGTCGAGTTCAGGTCGATTTGTTTTTTATCCCTCGGTATTTTCCCCTCCTCGTCCCTGCACGATAAACGAGCACGTTGCATGCACGCGCAAGGGGTTCTACCTATGCGCACTTTTCATCGTGCGGAGATTAGATAACCAGCCTCTCCCTTTCGACCCGTTATCGGTTCACCGGAATCGGCGAATTTCGTGTCCGACTCTCTCTCTCTCTCTCCTACGTGGAAATCTTTGCACCAACTGTGAACGGGGAGGCCCGCTGGTTGGAAAGTAGCGAGCCTGGGTAATTTAAATTCCTTTCTTTCTTCAAACCGGCGCAAAAGTTTACGCCAGAGGAATTAAAACTCGAGGGACGGGAAAATAGAGAACACGAGGTTGCGTTTCTCACGCAGAGCGGATTTTTGGAAATGTTAGCCATAGCTGCCTATATTGTCAAGTCAATTATCTACGTTAATATTTTATTTCATTTTTCAAATACTGACGGATTTTTACACGTCTAGGTTTGCCATTGCTTTGATCTATCAAGATGAGAAGTGTTTGCTGAAAAAAAAGAAAAGAAAAAAAAAGTTTAGGTTAGGTTTGGTTTAGGTTAGCATTTCTTTGCCATTGCTTTGATCTATCAAGATAACTGAGAAGTATTTGTTGAAAAAAGAAAAGAAAAAAAAGGTTTAGGTTAGCATTTCTTTGCCATTGCTTTGATTTATCAAAATAATAACTGAAAAGTGTTTGCTGAAAAAAGAAAAGAAAAGAAAAAGGTTTAGGTTAGGTTTAGGTTAGCACTTCTTTGCCATTGCTTTGATCTATCAAAATAACAACTGAAAAGTGTTTGTTGAAAAAAGAAAAGAAAGAAAAAAGGTTTAGGTTAGCATTTCTTTGCCATTGCTTTGATCTATCAAGATAACAACTGAGAAGTGTTTGTTGAAAAAAGAAAAGAAAAAAAAAAAAGATTTAAGTTAGGATTTCTTTGGCATTGCTTTGATCTATCAAGATAACAACTAAGAAGTATTTGTTGAAAAAAAAAGAAAAAAAAAAAGATTTAGGTTAGCATTTCCAGCAAATTTTCTAGTAATTTTCGCGCAGTGGTTTTGATGCAAATGTTTGTTCAACAAAGAATATCAAAATATCGTGAAATAACGAAAGGAAGGATTGATAATTGGACCAAGTTAAACTTCGAAATGAATATTAAATTGCCGGACTTTAATCTTCGGCTGGTTCTACGCTGAAGTTTAATAAACACGGTAAATGAATTTTAGAATGGATGATGTGCCCCTTTCCTTCTATTATAAAGTATATATTTGCTGTCTTTTCGGTTGAGATAAAACTTTTCGAATTAATGAAAGTCCTGCGCGACGGGTGATTATTTAATTCAGAAAATATTTAATCGCGTATGTATGCAAGAACGTCCGAATTTAATTAAAACTGATACATCTAGATAACAATTGATTGAAAGAGTTTCTGCAATTAAGAACATATATACCACTCGTTGAAAGCTTGGTTGCCACGTTCTGTGCGTGAAATACAATTTATTTCCTCGACTATAGAATATCTCAGCGATACTTGGAAATACAATTTTTGTAATCTTTAGTAATATTCTGTTACAACAATAACGAAATATTAAATTGACAAGTATGAGATGTGTTCAAACTTTTGGCAAGTACTGTATGTAAAAAATATCCTGTTGCCTCCGCTTTCGTGAAAGCCCCGGTTTTTAAAGGTTTTCAGACTGGATGAATTTCATTAAAAAAAAAATCTGTTGTAGCTCGCGCAATTTCGCAATTTCTGTCGCGAGTAATTGGAACACTTATCGCTGGTGGAAAATGTTTTCTTCTTTCTAAAAAAGAAAAAAAAAAAAGAATAAGAACGAGCCAGACATGTACATTTATCTAGAGAATTTCTCTCTTTTATAATTATTTATAAACCTTTGTGAACGACTGTTAATTGATTTGGTAACATTTAAATAAATTCTCAATAGCGTTCAACTCGATTTTAACTTACGTCCAAGAAATAGTCTTTATGATTTTACAAATGCACACGTTTTACATAATTTCCTCTAATTTGATAATACTTCAGTTAATGTTTAATTCAATGTTTATATCAACAACGGTCGACGTTTAATTCAATTTGTCACTGGCATCGACAGTTTTTCAACTTCGCAGTGTGATGAAAAATTTCGTCGACATCAAACAAAGCATAATAATAGAAACTGATTAATTTTGCTCTGGGGGAGGGTTTACCCCGGGGATCAAACAAAGCGTGAAATCCTTTGGGAAATAGGTTCTTTTTACCATTCGACCGGCAGATATCACAAAGCAAATTCCGTTCCGCAATGATGCAGTTAAGTACAGTTCAGTACTTGTCGGCATGAAAATAATATCAATATCGGCGACAACAGGAGGACCATTTCCACGAGTTGCGTATCTTACTGGCTGCAAACGATAGAAGTACCTATCTATATCGGGGAACTGCTCGAACAATCATAATCAGCAAGAGTTCGCAGAGTTTGAAACCAGCGACTGAAATATGCGATGACTTACGTCAGAGAAATTCGAAGAGTAAGAGTAGAGGTCGAGGGGAAACGAAGTTAAAGAAAACGAACGAAAACACGTGTAAGATCTCTGCGAATTAAGATTTATTATTGCAACTATTAATCTACCTTAACCAGATATGAAATAGTGAAAAGTGAAAAATGTCCCAAGACTTTTAAACGCGAGTGTATCACGGTTTTCCCCTGGAAAGCGCACCGAACAAGCACAAGAAATAATTGGAGGGAAAAAAATTCGTGTGTAAGCGTATTCCAAATCGGGCCAGCGGCGAATGCACATAAGCCTCGCGTGCACGCGTTCGACGATATAATAGGTAAAAGTTAATCGATCTCTCGTGAAAAGCGATCGCCGTTAAAAAGCCACTCGGCCTGGCTGTGCTGAGAAATTCAGGCTCTGCAGAAAACAGAGACAGCACGAACCATGTTCGTTTTTGTGTGCGTGTGTGTAATATAAATTATTATTATATATATATTATTATATTATATTATATATAAATTATATATATATATTAAATATAATATAAATTAATATATATTAAATATATATAAATTATAATTTATAATATAATTTTAATATAATTAAAATTAAATATAATTTTAAATTATATTTTAAAATATAATTTAATATAAATTAAAATTAAATATAATATAATTTTTAATATAATTTTAAATATAATTTATATATATATATAAATTATAATATATATAATATATATATATATATTACTGTACGTGTAGTCTCTACACTGTACGTCTCTACACTGACAAGGGAAACTGAAAAAAATTTAAATATCGAATATTTGCGAAATTGTACAAGACAAAGGAAAGATCGCTCCCTGTCGATTTCTTTTCGAAATTTACATTGTACAACACTGCAACAATATTTTACTATAACAAGCAACGTGTAACTGTATAATTTATACAAATGTACAATTTAACTTTTTTTCCCCCTCGATATTTTAAGGCGTGATTTTCTATAGACATACGCGCGTCAGACGCGAACGCGTATAGAAAAACAGGAGCATGCTTCGTTTAATCCCGCGGGGCCTCACAGGATAATTTGATTTTCTAGGAGAGCATGAGAGAGAATGAGAAAGAAATTTTTGCATTTCCTTTAACTTTTTTTTTCTCTCGTGGATTTCTTGGAAACTTCAGGACCTTGAAGTTAATGATTTTCTTTTAGGCTCCCGTCAAAAATTCACTTTTTGAACAATAAGAATTATGTGGGCGAGGCATCAGGATTTTAGAGATGGTTGGAAACCACTTCTAATCGAAAAATCTCTGATGCACCTGAGAAGTAAATTGTTCTGCTTTCAACAACGGGCGAATATCACATATGTGTAAATTTTCAAATTCTGGAACTTAAATTTACATTTGTATTATTGCATAACTTTCATGAAACGCAACACTGCGTGATACATCAACATTCGATCTTTCCATCGAGTTGGTTTCTCTTTTTCGAGAAAGAAATAGCTAGTAAAATGGTTGTAAAATGATGGCACGGAGTGGCAAATGGTAGGGAAAAAAAGGCGACGTTTAAGGACGGAACAAAAGAATCTAATTACTAGCAACTTAACTCCGTCACAAGTGGCCCGAGACAGAACCGTAACTCATGCCTCTGAAAACAATAGGATAAAGCGCGACTGGACCGAGCTTTCTTCCAGAGTTTAACCTATTTTTTCTTTTTTTTTTCGCTGCTCTGACAAACCGCTGAAACAGGATGCAACAGAAGAAAAACCATTCAATAAACTTAATATACTTGAAAAAAATAATACTTCGAGGCTTTTCTCTAAAAAGTTTTCCTCTTAACAATCGCTTAGTCGATAATGCAGTTGATATCAAACAATTTTGCTCTATTTTCTAATTTTACCAAACGTCTACTTTTTTTTTTAATAAAAAAAAAAGATTTTAATAAAAAAAAAAGATGAAACGAACTAAAATGTTTAATATTCTTCTTCTAACATATTGACTTTTCAATGAAATATTTTTTTATTTAGCTTCGTTTAATTAAAAGAACACGAATTCCGGCGTGCATAACTACCGGTATTTAATCAGGCTCGCTGAAGTTTAATTAGACATCAATTTTTTTCCACGACGCGGGAAAATGAACCTCTCCCCCCTCTCGTGGGAAATGATGCGGGAAAACGAAAGAAATTTCAAAATGAAGTTCGATCGGTAAAATCATTACTCGATCGGTAAAATAGACGTTAATGTTTTCGACTAACCAGGAATTAGCAAACATTAGGCAACGGAAATGCGAATCACAGAGAGTCGAGAAGGAATTCTCTCTCTCT